AAATGAGTGACCACTGACACAAAGGCTTTGGGGGTTCCCCCAATTCCACAGGCACCAACAATGGGGCACTATTCCTCCCAGTGACACCAACAATGGAGAATTAATCTTCACACTAACATCAATAATTGAGCACGATCCCTCCCCTTGATACCAACAATGGCTCACTTTTCCTCCAACTGACAACAATAAAGCACTAATCCTTCAACTTACACTAATAATGTTGCACTATTCCTCCCACTGATACTAACAATGGGGCACTATTCCTCTAACTGACACCAATGGTGGAGCACTGTTTTGAACCATACAACTTAAACCAATGATTGGGCACTGTTCCATACATTTGACACCAATGATGAAGCACTGTTCCATACAACTGACACCAACAATGGGGCACTATTCCTCCAAATCACACCAACAATGGAGCACTATTCCACCAACTGAAACCAACAATGGGGCACTATTCCTCCAAATGACACCAACAGTGGGGCACTATTTGTCCAACTCATACCAAAAAATGTGGCACTATTCCTCAAAATGACACCAACAATGGGACAATGTTCCTCCCTCCATCAACTATTCATTTCACTATTTATCTCAATAACATTATTATTATTACACAGTATTTATATAGCGCCAACAGTTTGCTCAGCGCTGTACATTACAATGGGAGACAATACATGAGACAGTACAGTAACAATACAATATAATACACGAGGGGTTCGAGGGCCCTGCTCCTTGGAGCTTACAATCTAGGAGGGAGGGGAGAGTGGTACAGGAGGAAAGAGCTGTGGGGGATGGAGTGGTGGGGGGAGAGGAGGAGATCAGCAATTAGCTGAGGGCGGGGTAGGCTTCCCTGAAGAGATGGGTTTTCAGGGTGCGCCTAAAGGTGAGGAGGGTAGGTGACAGTCTGATGGATTGGGGCAGTGAGTTCCAGAGGATGGGGGAAGCCCTGGAGAAGTCCTGGACACGGGCATGGGAGGAGGAGGATTATTAATGAGGCACTATTTTTCCCACTGATGCCAACAATCTGACTCTTTTCCCAATGACATCAACAATAGAGGGATTGTTTCTCCCATTGACATCAATTGTGAGGAACTGCTCATCCACCTGATGCCAACAATGAGGCATTCTGCTGCCTACTGACATCAACATCTGGACACTATTCCTGCAAATGCCAACCACAATATAATACTATTCTTCCAACTGACACTAACAATGTTTCACTATTCCTCCCACTGATACCAACAGTGAAGCACTGTTCCTCCTATGGATATCAAAAATAGGGCACTATTCCTTCAACTCACACCAACAATGGAGCACTATTCCTTGAACTGACATCAATGATGGGCCGCTAGTCCTTTCACTGTTACCAACAATGTGGTAATATTCCTCCCACTGACACCAACGATAGGGCAATATTTTTCTCACTATTACCAACAATGTGGCACTTTTCCAACCACTGACACCAATAATGGGACTCAACTTTTCCCACAGACATCAAGAATGAGGCAATATTCCTCCCACCGATGCCAACAATGAGGCACTATTCCTCTCTCTAAAATAATCAATGCTGTAGCATTCCTTGCACTGACAATAAAAATCAAGCACTATTCCTTTCACTGACACCAATAATGTGACAATATTTTTCCACTGAAACTAACAGAACTATTTCTCTTACGAATAGCAACTTAGGTGCACTGTTCCTTCCACTGACACCAACAATGGGGTACTATTGCATGCGTATTGATAATAATGATGGGGCATGATTTTTACCTTTGAAACCAGTGAAGGAGCTCTATTCTTCCCACTGACACCAAAGATAGGAAACTATTCTTCCCACTGATAACAACAATGGGAATTTTTCCATCTCACTAACAGGACATTTCTTACGCCCGCTGACAACCAAACCAGGGATGCCAGGGAATTTTACACCAGCCACAGTCTGCTTTTTCAGCAGTCTGAAGGACAGCCAAATGGCCTTTTTTGTGTTAAATTTTGAGGATCCCTAAATTAGAACTTCATTCAGGTTTTTATTGCTGTTTGTGCCCATGTTGAAGAAATTCTACTCACTTCCTGCAATAGTGACAAGTATTACTGAAACAAGAAATGTTTGGAAATGTCCCAAATAGGGGAAGGTGCTTTGGTACCCAACATGCGTTAATGTAACTCATTTAATGTGCAAATTAAACTGCCAGGGAGTAAATTGGAAGGATCCTTTCTGGGTGCTGGAAAATGCACTCTAGGTAGGATACTCTGCAAATACAAAGTTAATTAGAAAGTGTCAAGATAATGTAGCCTGGTAGCGTTATTGACAAGAAGCCAAGTAAATGTTCTGCTGCTGGCAGACCAAGGCCCTGTGAGCAAACAATGAGTGACCTCAAAGAATGACAATTTGCTCTCAGCTTAAACAGCTTAGATATATACATTTGGACTCCATAGTTAGTTATTTGTCTGGAAGAGCTGCATAATTACATTTTGAAAAGAAATACAGAATTTGTTGATCTAGCACTTGATAGTCTGTGGCCCCATCCCTTTATGCCATTCTGTATGGTGAAAATGCTGCAGAAGGAGCTAATTAATCTGTAAGATCTATTTTTGTTTTGTAATCCAACAAAGGTAGCTAAATGGAGCTTTACAAGTGCTTCTGCTTTTACTATAAACTCCATCTGATACATACTGTGAAATCCATTTGCCTCTACCATGAGGCTAGAGCATATTCAATAAATTCAAATGGCAATTTCCTCCTTAAAAGAATCCTCCTGAAAGGGATCCAACCTCTTGATGTGTACAAAAATTGTATCAAATGGTCTAGAGGGCTTACTTTCTTTCATTTGGGGATGTGGTGGGGGATATGAGAGGCATCTGATATTATCTGTGTGGTTGGTGGTCTGTATGGGCAGTAAATATCAGTATATTTTCCCTCCCTATGTCTCCTGATGAAGCTTTATAAGTGAAGCACGTTGAAAAATAAACCCCCGCTAGAGCCAAGACAAGCAAACCTCTGGACCAGTGCCAATGTCATCTAGTACCTAGAGCGAAGATCCCCTTCCCAAATGTATGAGCATTATGTGTTTAGCAAAAATCCCCTCCTTCCTCCTCCCCAAAATTTGAGCACTAATCTTCACACCTACCCACAAGCATACATTTCAAGCCAAAATTTTCCCCATACACAAATTACCCCTCTTACAGTACAAATCCCCCCTCCCAGCTCAAATTCTCTGCCTCCCCAAATCCCTCTTCCTAGCACAAGTCCTCCGAAAATCACAAAAAAAAAGCACAAAAAAATCCCCCCAGTCATCTCCCATTAGCCACAAATCCCCCCCTCCTTGCTCAAATCCCCCTCCTAATACAAATCCGCTCTTCTTTCTAGTACAAATCCCTGTCCCAGCTCAAATCCTCTGCCTTCCCAAATCCCTCCTAGCACAAATCCTCTACCCCTTAAATTTTCCCTCTAAGCATTAATCCTTTCCCCCTCCAAATCCCCCTCTCTCAGCATAAATCCCCCCAAATTCCCCATCCTAGTACTAATCCCCCTCCAATTTCCCCTCCTAGCAAAAAATCCCCCCAATCATCCCTATTAGCACAAATCCCCCCCCCCCCCCCCCTTGCTCAAATCCCCTTTTCTAATACAAATCCACCCTCCTAGTACAAATTTCCTCCTCCAAATCACTGCTTCTAGCACAATCCCCCAAATCCCCACTGAGCCTATGGCAGCCATCCCTCCTTTCCCATCCCTTGTCTCTGCCTTGCTCTGGACCATTTGATGGAATTCTTGTACATAGAAAGCGTTGCCTTTCCTTTAAGGAAACCTCATGACTAGTGCTTGTGAATGGTCGCGTTTTCTTCTGGGACCTATCGTGTGTCCTAGAAGACAGCGGGGAGGGAAGGAGAAGGACAACTTTTGCATCTGATCGCCTAAGCTGTCGGAGCAGAAGTGGGAGCTGGTACCTGGAATTGGCACTCCCCAAAGGTGCCAATACCTGACAGAGAAGTGGGTAACAGTACTTAAAGCGGAACTTCCCCTTATGGGGGGGGAGCTCCGCTTTAAACCCTGTTGTGGGACTGGTATACTGGCTGTAAACCATTGTAATATTTTCAACACACCAAAATGATACATTTTGTCATTTGTAATGTTGTGTATAATATAAATCGAAATGCCCTCTTTGTGATGCCCTGCTGGATTATTAGTTTAGGACTGCAGAGATTCATGAGGATGTGTCCCCTTTAGACCTTCTCAAAGCTGACTCCAGTAATATATTTATAAACAGGGGCGGACTGACAACTCATGGGGCCCCCGGGCAATAGGGGATCATGGGGTCCCTGTGTCCTTGCCCAAACTCAAAAAAGCCTATGAAAAAGGTACCAGGGGCATCTCATGGGGCCCCCTACTAACCCCGGGTCCTCGGGCAGTGCCCGAGTTTCCAAATGGTCAGTCCGCCCCTGTTTATAAACAATATAGGGTCTGGGATTATATATCCCATTTCAGTCTTTGCAGATGACACTAAACTGTGCTGTGGAATAACGTCCTTACAGGATGTCTCCAATTTACAAGCCGACCTCAATGCACTGTTTAATTGGGCAACTATGTGGCAAATGAGGTTTAATGTTGATAAATGTAAGGTTCTGCACTTGGGGGCTAAGAATATGCATGCATCATACATACTGGGGGGGGGGTACAACTGGGGGAATCAATGGTGGAGAAGGATCTGGGGTTCTGGTAGATCACAAGCTTAATAATGGTATGCAATGCCAAGCTGCAGTTTCTAAAGCGAACAAAATCCTCTCTTGTATTAACCACCTCCCGCCCGCCATATTAGTCCAATGACGGGCGCAAGGTGGTTCTCTCGTTCTGATAGGACGTCATATGACGTCCTGCCATTCGTAGCGCGGCGATCGGCAGTCGGCGGTGCTCTGTGTCCCTCGGACACAGGGGATCGCCGATCACGGAAAGAGCCGAAAATGTCGGCTCGGTCATGTGATCAGCTGTGTCCAATCACAGCTGATCACATGTAAACAGGGAAATGCCAGTTATCTGCATTTCTCTCCTCTCGAGCTGTCACACTGACAGCTCGAGAGGAGAGGAGAGACGGTAATCGGCTTTCCACGGAGGGGACATGTACACTGATCATCAGGGCACTGATGATCAGTGTCCCCTGATGATCAGTGTGGCCCCAGAAGTGCCACCTGTCAGAGTCCATCAGTGCCAGCTGAATAGTGCCACATGCCAGTGCCCATCAGTGCCACAATGCCACATATCAGTGCATACCAGTGCACATCAATGCCACAAATCAGTGCCCATCTGAGCTGCCCTTCAGTGTCACCTATCAGTGCCAGTCAGTGCCACCTATCAATGCCAATCAGTGCCACCTATCAGTGCCGCATATCAGTGCCAGTCAGTGCCACCTAACAGTGCCAGTCAATGTCACCTAACAGTGCCAGTCAGTGCCGCCTATCAGTGCCACCTGTCAGTGCCATATATCAGTGCTATATATCAGTGCTGCCTTTCAGTGCCCATCAGTGCCACCTACCAGTGCCTCCTCATCAGTGCCCATCAGTGCCACCTATCAGTGTCCATCAGTGCATCTTATCAGTGCCCATCACTACAGCCTCATTAGCGTACATCAGTGAAGGAGAAAAATCACTTATTTACAAAATTGTATAACAAAAACTAAGAAAAAACTTTTTTTTTCAAAATTTTCAGTGGTTTTTGGTTTAAGAAAAAATAAAAAACCCAGAGGTGATTAAATACAACCAAAATAAAGCTCTATCTGTCACAAAAAAAAAATGATAAAAATTTCATATGGGTACAGTGTTGCATGACCACGTAATTGTCATTCAAAGCTGAAAGCTGGAAATTGGCCTGGGCAGGAAGGGGGTATAAGTGCCCTGTAGGCTAGTGGTTAAGAGGTATAGACTCCAGAGAGAGAGATATCATATTACCCCGGTACAAATCATTAGTAAAACCTCATCTGGAATATGCAGTTCAGTTTTGGGCACCATTTCAATAAAAGAACATTGGGGAAGTGGAGAAAGTACAGAGAAGGGCAACCAAACTGATAAGAGGCATGGAGGAGATCAGCTATGAGGAAAGATTAGAGGAACTAAATATATATTCTGTCTTGAGAAGAGAAAATTAAAGGGAGATATGATCACCATGTATAATACATAAGGGGGGATATGATCAGCATGTATAAATACATCAGTGGTTCATATAGTGAACTCGGTGTAGAGCTATTCACCCTGAGGTCATCACAGAGGACAAGGGGGCACTCTTTACATCTGGAGGAAAAGAAATGTAATCTCCAAACACAGAAAGGCTTCTTCACAGTGAAAGCTGTGAAAATCTGGAATAGACTCCCTCAAGAGTTGGTTCTGGCCAGCTCAGTGGATTGCTTCAAAAAAGGTCTGGATTCTTTCTTAGATACACAGAATATAACTGGATACTAACATTTATAGGTAAAGTTGATCCAGGGAATATCCAATTGCCTTTCGGGGGATCAGGAAGGAATTTTTTCCCCTGCAGGAGCAACTTGGATCATGCTTTGCTGTTTTTTTTGCCTTCCTCTGGATCAACTGTGGGTATAGGATTATAACTTTTTTTTCTATGGTTAAACTGGATGGACTTTTGTCTTTTTTCAGCCAGACTAACTATGTAACTATGTACATACAGGAGCAGTAGTGTAGAAAGAGAAGGCCCTAAATGAGGAGACATTGTGGGCATCAAAGGGCCTGTAAATTACAAGAGACCACTCTGTCTAACAACATAGCTGTAAAACTGGTTGAACTGGATGGACTTTTGTCTTTTTTCAGCCAGACTAATTAGGTAACTATGTAACTATGTAATATGGAATCACCAGCATCTAGAGGACTGACTATGTTTTATTATTGTGGGTTACAGGTTATGCTGCTCATACCAAAAGGAGAAAAAATCTGTTGCTGCAGGCTGTCCATTTTCTGAAACAGACAAATAATAGGAACTATCTGACTTTTTTTCATCAAGTACTGTATATAGATATAATTATATCAAGTATAGGTAATAAGTACATTAAAATATCATGGTATATTTGGGTTGCTTCACACCAGCTGCGCTGAGCGCACATCTTCTGTTCTGGGAGGACGCAGTGATTTCTGCCACAGCCCATAGTGTAAACTGGAGTTTGGCCTCAATTTGTTAGTGTATATAAATCTGCTAATATATTTAACACTCCCACCCCCCGCCCCCCCAGATTGACATTGCTGCTGTCTGCTGTGCCCCCTTCAGCTCCTTCCTCCATAGTGGGGCACTCTAATACAGGAGGTGTGTTATCAGCTAGATCACCAGATGAAAACAGAGGGAAAAGCCTAAACAAAGAAAACTAAAGTGCCACCTACATATAATGATTGGTAAACTGCAATATATTACATTTCTGGTTTTCGGGTTTAACCATTTGCCGCCCGGCCTATAGCCGTTTGGCGGCCGCAAAAATGCATTACCTTTCCGGGGTGTACGCCATTTGGCGTCCTCCCGCACATGCGCAGTTTGCGCGGTTGCAGAGCCGCGCAGCGGCGTGATCTGTCACCGTCCGTATACCTCGGACACGGCCGATGATAGATCTGAGTACCGGCCCCTGTTGCCGGTACCATATGACCTGCTGTGACCAATCACAGCAGGTCACATGACAGTTGTATACAATGGATGGCTTCATTCATTCGTGTCTAGCTGTGAATGGTAACAGCTAATCACATGCACATGTCATGTGATTAGCTGTGACCAAATCACAGCTAAGCACAAAAAAAAAAAACCTGAATGAATCGATTTCATTCAGGTAAATACTTGCTTATAGCAAAGTAATTCTTTGCTATAAGCAAATTGTGTAAAAAAAAAAAAAATACTGATCACTTCCCCAAAGTGGTACAATGTTACTATGGTAACATTGTACTACTTTGGTCATAGTAAAATATGAAAAAAAAATCTTAAAAAAAAATAAAAAATGTAATAAAAAAAAAATATATTTTTTTTTTTCATACTGTCACCAGTCAGTGTCCCTGTTCACCGCCATGTCAGTTATATGAAGACGCTGTACTGCACTGGTGACGGTATGTAAAAAAAAAAAAAAATAGTGAAAATTATTTTTTTCATTTTTTCATTTTCCGAAAAATTATGACAAAAAAAATACAACTTCAAAAAACTCGCCATGCCTCTTATGAAGTACGTCGGACTGTCTGCTTTACAAAAAGGGGTCATTTGGGGATATCTGTACTGTTCTGACATTCTTGGACCTCAAGAAATTAGATTGGCCGTCAGTACTTCAGGATTGATCAATTTTCAGATCTATACCATAGTTTGTGAACTCTATAACTTTCCTATAAACTAAAAAATACATCTAATTTGGGTTATTTTCACCAAAGACATGTAGCAGAATACATCTCGGCTAAATTTATGAAGAACAATTATTTATTTGTAAACTTTTATAACAGAAACAAAGAAAAACGTGTTTTTTTTTTCAAAATTTTTGGTCTTTTTTTGTTAATTTAGCAAAAAATAAAAACCCCAGCGGTGATTAAATACCACCAAAAGAAAGCTCTAGTTGTGTGAAGAAAATGATAAAATTTTAGTTTGGGTACAATGTTGTATGATCGCGCAATTGTCATTCAAAGTGTGAGAGCGCTGAAACCTGAAAAATGGCCTGGGCAGGAAGGGGTAAAAATTGCCTGGTATTGAATTGGTTAATAATGGTTTAATGTTCCAAAACCTGTGTCATGGGGGAAATCAAACTCCTCCCACTCCATTTGTGCCAACAGGTATATGTAGAATACAATAGCAGACTAGTGTTGTACCCGTGCTATAAAAAATATCAAATTAGGTGTTCAATACCTTTCTGCAGATAGTATTTAACACGGAACTAAATTCTATCCATCATCATGAGCTACTTTTATTCCTTATGCTGCTAGCCTTAGTAAAGTGACAGGAAGGTATATTATATTTACTTGTTTTAACCACTTGGTGACCGCAAGCCCACAATGTACTGCGGACAGGTGGCCTCTGTGGGTAAAGCAACATACCTGTACATTGCTGCCTACTTCTTGGTTTTTAGCACGCAAGCCCTGGACAATGACCCATGGTTGGGACCTACTGATCAGCTGTGTGCAATCACAGCCCAGAGCTCTGTGTTGGTAAACAACACAGAGCTCTGTACAGAGGGAGTGATCTGTCTTTGCAGGGAAGAAAAACTGAGAGCTCTAGTAGTAAAAGAAGCTCACTTTACAGACATTACACATAGTAAGGCACACATTTAACTCCATGACTTCCCTAAATGTTAACCCCTTCCCAGCCAGCGTCATTAGTACTGTGACAGTGTATAGTATTATCACTGGTCACTGTAATAATGTCACTGATGATGCCACTGGAAGTTAGACAGTTCCCCGCAGCGGAAGTTAGTGTCAGATTGCCCGCTGCATTATCGCAGTCCTGTTATAAGTCGCTGATCACCACCATTAGTAAGTAAAAAAATTTAAATTCCAGTATATATACCATAGTTTGTAGGCGCTATAACTTTATTTAATACAGGTATAGCGCTGTCAATTACTTATATAGCGCTGTCAATTTACGCAGCGCTTTACATATATATTGTACATTCACATCAGTCCCTAACCCTCAAGGGGTGTACAATCTAAGGCCCCTAACTCACATTCATACATACACATACTTGGGACAATTTAGACAGGAGCCAATTAAACTACCAGCATGTCATTGGAGTGTGGGAGAAAGCCAAAGTAGCTGGAGGAAACCCACGCAGGCGCAGGGAGAACATGCAAACTGCAGGCACATGGTGCCTTGGGATTCGAACCAACAACCCTAGTACTGCCAGGCAGAAGTGCAAACCATTTAGCCACTGTGCTGCACGCAAACCAATCAATATACACATATTTGGATTTTTTTTAATCACAAACCTGTAGCAGAATACAATTTGATTTTTTTTGGGATATTTTTGGATAATTTTTTGTATCAAAAATGTCTCTTTTTTTGTTTATATCGCAAAAAAATAAAAAAAAAAACAGCGGTGATCAAATACCACCAATAGAAAGCTTTATTTGTATGAAAAAAATTAGATACATTTTGTTTGAATACAGCATAACTGCGCAATTACCAGTTAAAGTAGCGCAGTGCTGTATAGCAAAAAATGGCCTGGTCATGAAAGGGGTAAAACCTTCCAGAGCTCAGTGGTTAAACTTTTTTTTTTTTTTTTTTTTACTTTTCTTCAATTTCTTCCTGGTTTCTGGCCTAGGCCAACATTATGTCATACATCCCAGGAGTCTTCATAGTCATTTCATTTTTCTTTTCTTTAACCTCCCTAGCAGTATTCCCGAGTGTAGCTCGGGGTAAAATGTCAGTAACAAAAGCGGTAACCC